GGATTGGGAGTTGGGGGTAAATCTGGAAGGAGCTGGGGAAAGAATGGGGTTTATGATCAAAACACAGTCTATGACATTCTCAAAGAATTAATAAAATATTACATTAAAATATATTTTAAAAGCTATGGTGAGACACAGTTGAACATAGTACCACTTGTTTAAAGTACTCAGTTTAATAAGCTTTGGTTGAAGTGTGAAGCCACCATCACAACAGAAACAGCAGATAACTCTTGTTCCTCAAAGGTTTCCTCGTGGCCCTTGGCAATCCATTACCTGCTCCTGCAGCTCACCCTGTGGCAACCAGCAATCTTTCTGTTACTATAAGTTATTTTGCACTTATAGAAGTTGAGATAAATGTAATCACATTCTTGGGGGTGAAGGTAGGCCTGACTTCTTTCATTCAGCATGATTATTTTGATATTCAAACATGTCATCATGTGTAACAATTCCTGCTCTTTCACCGAGTTACTATTTCATTGTATTGGTATACAGATTGCGGAGATGAGATGCATGGTAAACAGGAAACTCATTTATGCTTTCTGTGCGGCTTCTACACATAGCCTGAAGGTCATTTCACAACACTTTCAGGGAACCTGGGTTTTGTTTGTGATTCATCACCTAACATCAAGTACAGAGTTGTCTATTCAAAGCATAATGTAAGCATTCAAATGTTTCTGATAGCATGGCATTTTAAACTTGGGCTTTGAGATTAGTTGCACCAAAAGTTGTTTATCCAATCACCCATTGTTCTGTTTGTTTACAGTTTGAGACTATCGAAAATAAAACTGCTATGCACAGACCCAGTAGATGTCCTCAGGACACAGTGATGCCCTGCACATGCCACCAAGAAAAGGAGAGAAAGTAAGGGCACTGGCTTTTGCCAGAGAATGTTCCAGAATGAGAAGACTCTGCTGGAGCAGAAGCGCCTGTCTTTTGTATTGTTCTTCATGTTCACATAGCCCTTTCACCTTCACTATTGTTTCCGACTTAACACAGGAATAGTCCTGGCAACTGAGACAGGTAGATGCTATTCTCACCATTTCACAGATGGGAAAACTGATGCTCAGCCATGGCTATGTCAGCTGGCCACTCACACAAGCTCAGATTTTAAATTGTTCTTATAGACCTAATACCTTAACTACCCGAGAATCAGGGGCGGGGAGTTTCAGACTACCCATCTCAAGAAATGTTATTTTATTTCAGATAGTCTCATACCTGGCTGCAAACCTGCTATGTAGCTTTGGATAATCTTGACTTTCTGATCCTTTCTCCCCTCCCTCTGGAGTGCTGAAGTTACAAGTATGTCCCACCATGCCGTGTTAATATGGTGGTAGTGGTCAAACCCAGTGCTTCCTGTGTGCCAGGGAAGCAATCTAGACTGCTCTGCATCACCAACCCAAAAAATTCTAATGTGCACACAAACCCAATCATTTTCAAGACTCATCCAACCTGCTTATTTAAATTGTTTGGGAAAGACTAAAGGAAATTAGTTACTACTAATAATTTGTCAGATTCTCCTAGAATATAAAATATATGTCTTGAATTAGGAGAATTTAATTGTCTTTCTTTTTTTCTTACAAACACATTAGCATGTATAATCAGGAAGTCCCTGATACAATATGATGATCTTGGGACATGTTCTCACTGTAAGAGACAAAGGGAACTTTTCAACAAATTTTGTGGTGTGTGTGTGTGTGTGTGTGTGTGTGAGAGAGAGAGAGAGAGAGAGAGAGAGAGAGAGAGAGAGAGAGAGGGAGAGAGAGCGCTGCACACATGCCATATCACCTATGTGAAGGTCAGGGGACAACTTCGGGTATCATCCCATCTTCTACTTTAAAGGCAGAGCCTATCTTGTTGTTCATTGCTGTGTGTACCCAGCTAGCTAGCCAGTGAGCTTCCTAGGTTTTTCCTGTCTGCCTCCCATCTGGATTCCCAGTGGAATTGCAGAGGTAAGTTCTACTGCATCTGGCTTTTACATGGCTTTAAGGATCTGAACACAGGTCTTTACCCTTGTGCAGTAGCCACCGAGCCATTTCTCAGTGCCTCACCTAATATTTTAAAAATATATTTTATTATTGCATGTATTTGAGTGCTTTGCCTGAAGGTTTATGTGTTTATCTGATGCCCAAGGAGGCTGGAAGAGTATGTGGTTCCCTGGAATTGGAGTTATAGACATTTATGAGCTATCATGTGGGTGCTGGGGATTGAACCCAGGTCCACTGGAAGACCAACCGGTGCTGAGCCATCTCTCCGGCACCTCAACTAATTCTTTCTTTTTTCTTTTTTTAAACATTTTATTGATTCTTTCTGAGTTTCGAATCATGCAGCCCAGTCCCACTCATTTCTTCATCCCCTCATATCTGCCCTTTGCCCTTGAAATCTACTCCCCCCCCCCAAAAAAAAAACCAACAACAAAAACAAAGCATAGAAAACATTTCATCGTGGAAGCTGTAGTCTGTCGCAGTGTGTCCCACAGTGCATCCCTGTGTCCACATATCTTCACTTGCAGATGTTCATTGCGATGAGTCATTGGTCTGGTTTAAGATCTTCAGCTTCTGTGACGCCATCGATATTGGGTCCTCATCAGGACTCTTCCTGGCTACCCTTTTGTTGCTCTGTGTCATGGAGATCCTGAAGCTTTGGATCAGCAGGATACACTCCTTCACGTATCTCAGCAGTTCATAGATGAGGTAATGTAGCAGTGAATTTGTGCTACACACTTTGTGCTCCGGGTGGGTGACTGGTGAACTCTTTGGATCCGTCAATGGAACACACACACACACACACACACACACACACACACACACACACACTAGCTTATTTTTGAAAAGCCTTGGCTACCTCAAAGGATGTGCACTCCTAAACCTTTCCCTGCTATCCCAGGGCCAATTAGGGAAGTAGCCAGTGGCCGTCCACCCAAATTCTCATATGGATGGTTGACTTTCTCTCCTGCAGCTTCTGTGTCCCATCTTTCTTCCCCATGTCATGGAGATTCTCTGTCTCCTCCCTCCTGTGTCCTAGCCCATACAACTCTAAGAGTCCCGCCCCATGCCCAGCCATTGGCCCCTGGCCTCTTTATTGATAGCTGAAAAACCAATTGGAGACAAGGACCTTTAGCGTTTGGACGTGCAGATTCCCAATTGAATCAAAACATTGGGACCAATCTCCAACAGGGTAAATGTTGGGATGGGCAAATTCCAAAGCCCTGGATCTAGGCTGAGTGATAGCTGAGGTGGTCAGTCCACTGACTCTTCCTTATCTACGCCACCAGCACTACTCCAGCTAGGCCACCTAATGCCACCATAGGCAAGTGGCAGGAAGGGTCAGCTCTCCTCCTTTCATGCTCCTGGGGCCGGCTCACCCATATCCATGACTCCAGAGTCAGCTCCACTGTGCTGCTCAGTCAAGATACAGAGCTGCAGCCTGTGAGGGGCTGGGCCAGCTCTCCCGCAGCCACAGTTGGGGTTGGTTCACCTGTGCTTTTGCTATCCGGGCTAGCTCCACTGTATTGCTCAGGTGAGGTGCAGGCCCACTCTTCTAAGTGCTGCAGCCAGTGAGGAGCAGGGACAGCTTATCTGATCTCATGACCCGGGGTCTTCCCACTGCCCCTCCCCCCCTCAGCCACCTCATGGCTGACGCTTTTCGGAGTCAGCTCTCCTGCACTCATGTCTTTGGGGCCGCTCACTTGCATCTCCTCCACCAGGACCAACTATACTGGTCAGGGGAGGTACAGTGCCCACTTTCCTAAGTGCTACAGCCGGCAAGGGTCCGGGACAGCTCTCTGGCTGTCATGAGCACACGGCCTGCTCTCCTGGCTGCTGCAGATAGTGGGGCGGGGGCAGGGGCAGTAGGCATCACTCCGATCTCATGCCATCTCACTGTGGACAAATAGTGGGGCCAGCCCTCCTGCATTTTCACCCTCAGGGCTGGCTCATCTGTGTTCCTGCTACCGGGGATCCAGGTGAGGTGAAGGACACACTTTTCCGAGTGTGCTGCAGCTGAACTCATGACTCTGTGGACAACTTTCCTGACTGCCTGAGGTGGTGAGGCGCATCTCGGGAGAAAGGGGCGTGGCATCACCTCTGCACCTGTGCCACCCCATGGTAGATGAATGGCAGGATCAGCTCTCCCACACTCATACTCTCAGGGCCGGCTCACCTCCACCCCCACCACCAGGGACAGCCCTACTGCTGCCTGGGTGAGGCACAGCTCTGCCTCTGGTGAGAGATGGGACCAGCTCTGCAGAGTGACACAGCGGGGAGGATCGGGAACAGTTATGCACAGGCCCTGGACATCCTTGCGGTCCCCAGTGGCTGTCCCTAGGGACATCCCTAGTTCTCTAATGGCAATATGAGCCATTGACATCAACACTGACCCCTACTGCTATGTAGCCAGGGATTCAGACATGACCCTTAGCAGCAGCTTGGCTTGGGACCTCATCATGACCTCAGGTGGCAGGGTTGCCATAACGCTCAAGCTGCTCCTCTTCTCTTTCTCTCCTGTCTGACCGCCTGATCAGTCAGGGTTCTCTAGAGTCACAGAACTTATTGGTAGTCTCTGTATAGTAAGGGAATTTGTTGATGACTTACAGTCTGTAGTCCAACTCTCAACTATGGTCAGCAGCAGCTGTGAATGGAAGTCCAAGGATCTAGCAGTTGCTCAGTCCCACAAGGCAAGCAGGCGAAGAAGAGTGAGCCTTCCTTCTTCCAATGTCCTTATGTAGGTCTCCAGCAAAAGGTGTGGCCCAGATAAGGTCATCTGGGACCCTACCACATACTCAGACATTGTGGTGGCTTCTGCTGCAGGCTGGACATGTGGCTTGCAGGTCTCTGGGAGACATTGTCCATTCTTGCTGTGCTTCATGGTGTGGCGTCAAGCAGGTGTTTATTGCCCTCCTGTGACATAGAAAGGAAAGCAGGTCTGTGGGTGGCATAGCTGTCTGCAGGTCTCTGTCTTCTTCTTCTTGCACTATGCTGCCTGAATTTTATTTTATTTTATTTTTATGAGTCCTAGGCATAAGACAGCTTTGTTCACCAAGCCAAGCATCAAGCTAGGATGAACAATGGTCTGCCATCTGCTCTGCCCTGACTGATAGAAGAACAACTCCACCAGCAAGGTATCTCTTTGCCCATTTCAGGGGGATAATTCATTTTTAAGTGAGATAGTAGAATAAAAAATTTCCATAAAAAGTAAACAGCAAATAAAAACATTTTTTTTCAAATAAACAAAAACTAAGAGACATCATCACCACCAGGATTTCATCAAGCTGGGGGAAAGTGAATCAGATAGAGAATTAAGTTTGTAGATGGAATATAGAGTTCTAAAAATGAAAAAAAAACCTTAAATATAGAAGACATTTTCACATTTTAATTTATTTAAATTAAAGTTGACTGTTTAGTGCAAAAGTAATCGTGGCATATTATGAATCTTACGATAGATGAAGAAGTAAAATGCATGACATTGGTGTAAAGGATCAGAGAGGGGAAAGGAAATACACTGGTGAACTTATTATGCTCTCTTTGGTGCGTTACAGTGTCATGAGAAGACAGTAATAAGAAAAGAACACATTTTGGAAGCCCTAAAACAGTCACTAAATTACAAATGCTGGCAAGGCGATGGTGAAGAGAGAATGAACAAAGAACTATTTCTCAGTCATTTCAAAAGAGACCAGGGAAAGAAAGAACAAATGAGAGAAACAAACAGACAAAAATTAATGAAGTGGTAGATTCATGTGGGGCTACCGTAAGAGTTATATTAAATGTGTTAAGATCCTGATTAAAAAGCAAAGATTGTCACAATGGATGAGGATAAAAATTAACATCTAAATACTCTGCATAGTCAACAACCACAACAGGAATAGTTGAAATATCTAGTTATGGGAACTGAAGAGATGGCTCAGTTGTGGCAGGGCTTAGTGATGCACACCATCAATCTTGCACTTGGGATGCAGAGGCAGGAAGATCTCTGTGAGTTCCAGAGCCCAGCCTGATCTACAGAGCAAATTCCAGGCCAGACAAAGCTACATATCAAGACCTTGTCTCAAAAAGGGGGGGGGGGGAAGCACTTGCTGCTCTTGGGGGGGGGGGGAGGTATGTACTGAGTTCAGCTCCCAGCATGCACCTCAAAATCAGGCAACTCAAAATCACTGTTAACTCCAGGTAAACCTCCAAAGGATCTGACACCCTCTTCCAGACTGGACACACACACACACACACACACACACACACACTTTTAACAGTCTTTAATTTTTTTTGGTTTTTTTTTTGTTTTTGTTTTTTTGAGACAGGGTTTCTCTGTGTAGCCCTGACTGTCCTAGAACTCACTCTGTAGACCAGGCTGGCCTCGAACTCAGAAATCCTCCTGCCTCTGCCTCCCAAGTGCTGGGATTAAAGGTGTGTGCCACTACTGCCCGGCTTTTAATAGTCTTTAAATAACAAAATTTTCCAACAGTAGAACACTTAGCTCTTTAATTGATTTCTTTTCGGATTTGTTTAATTTCATGTGTATGAATGTTTTTTTCTTATCTGCATATATGCTTGTGAATGGCACGAATGCCTGGTGGTGCCCTTGGAGGCAGAAAAGGGTGTCATGTTCCCTGAGGTTAGAATTGCAAATGGTTGAGTCACCATGTGGATGCTGGGAATTGAACCCAGGTCGTCTGCAACATTAGCATGCTCTAAACAGTGGAGCCAACTCTCCAGCCCCAACCATGCTTGTTATAAGAACCCAGAGGGGTAAACATTAACATCAAACGAAAGAGATTTCAAAACAAAGAGTATCATCAGTTTAAAAAAGGGGGAAGGGGACAATTCATAGCATAAACAAATTAGTTAAGCAAGACATACAATTCTGGTTGCATGGGTAACTAATAACAGCACCTTTAAACGTTGTAATCAGGGTATAAGGTCAGATTGACTGCAACATCTGCCATTCCCCTTGATTTCTGGGGTTGATTTTGGCTTCTCTGACTCCTAGGCAGGTATCCCTCATCCTCTCCCATACACACACACACACACACACACACACACACACACACATCCCTCTGTCCCTTCCCTCAGACACTGCTCATCTGTCTTCTTTAACTGATGATACCGTGTCTGAGGATGGAGGTTGGAGCAATAGCCTCACTCCTTCCTGGGACCACCACTCAAGTTTTTGTAGGAGAATGTATGGTAGTCAGGCTTCCAATACTCCAGTCCCAGCCAATGAGTCACTGTACATGGCAGTCTGACTTTCCTAAATACCAACAAGCAAACAATAGCAACAAAACAAACAACAAAAAAACTAAAAAAGGAACCGAGAAACAAATGACAATAAAACAGAAAAATAAATGTGTATAAAATTTTCTTCCAATAACCAAGAGAACATATAAACAGAAAAACAATAAACTCACAGAAAACATGAACTACAGTTATCAAATGTGATTTATTGCTGCTTTCAGAGAGATATTTCCCCCCAAACAACAAATTTCACATTAAAAAAAAAAGTACATCAAACATTCACCAACAGAATTAGAAAATAATAACCAAAGGTATGCAGAAAACATCAATCATTTTAAAAATTAAGCTACAGAATGCCTGAATAATCCACTGGCAACAGAAGAAATAACCACAGACCAAAACCATTTTGAAGTGGGAGATAGGAGTGTGCAGCCTGCTAGAGAAGCCGTTTAATTATCCTTCTAATCCACCGGCAGATCAGAGCAGGGCACTGTACCTCGTGTCCTACTTAGCACCATCCGTGTCCCCTCCTCCCTGGATAAGACAGTGTTATCTAGGTTCTTAGCATCAAGTAATAAGAATAATTACGTGTCAGGCGGTTAGCGTCTGATGAACAAAAGATTAAGTGCTTTGCTGACATTCTCCCTCCTGTCTTCACAGCCATCCTCTGAACAGCAGCTATTGTACTCCTTTTAGTTACTTAAGGGCTGGGGGTACATGGAGGTGAGCCCGCTCAGATCATAGCACTTCTGAGCCAAGAGTCGAATCTAGAAGGCAGACCCAAGAGCCCACCGTGCTAAACACTATTGTTCACCAGTGCAATGGCAGTCATCACACAGTTCTAGGGGCAAAGGGGAATACAATTTCTATTTTGTACATTGTGTATTGCCCACAAAATGGCTTCTTATTACATCACAGCTTTCAAGTACTTTCTCCCAAATGTAACCATTTCTTCCCAATTTGTTGGGGATGATGGGAGAGTCATAAACGTTTATCAACACGTACCTATAATAATTTCATCACTCTGTAGGTAGAGACAGAAGGATCAGGAGTCTACAGCTAGCCTGGGCTACAAGAGACTTTGTCTCAAAAAAAAAAAAAGTTTTTTAAATCTTGGGAAAGTTCATTCCATGCTTATTCATTATGGCATCTCAAGGACTAGTAAATGAATCACAGGTGATTGGAAAAGCAATGACCTCGGGATCGGAAGTACCTGCCTATCAGCTTTGTGACCTGGGGCAAGTCATTTCTAAAAAGCACACATAAGAAAATATAAGTTAAGTGGATCTAAGGTGCAAATTGGCATACAGATTGGAGAAAACTCTTCCAGTTGACTGGGGAAGACCCCTTGAGAAGCCCTCACATTAACTGAAAATTAAAATCTAGTCATGCGTCTTACGAAAGTCACTGTAACCAAAAACCTGGCAAGAAACTTCTTAAGACATCACAGCTTTTAAGTACTTTCTCTCAAATGTAACCTTTTCTTTCTAGTTTGTTTAGGGGGGTGGGGAGGTGTCATAAACACTTATTGGCAAGTACCTGTCCTTGAGTTGTTAAGGGAGAAAGAGCTTATTGGCTCAGACTTTGATGACACAGCATCCTGGCAGGGAAGGCCGGGCAGTTGGAGCAGGAAGCTGCCTGCAGAAGCAGGAGGCTGCTGGTCCCCTTGTGTCTGCAATCAGGAAGCAGAGGGTGAGCACTGGTGTTCTCTGGCTTTTGCCTTTCCTTTTTACTCAGTCTGGGACTCTTGTTCATGGGATGGTGCCATCCACAGTCATGTGGGTCCGTTCCCTCCCAAATAATTCTCTCTAGGAATACCTTCACATACAGGCTTACTCAAAGCTGTGCCTCACTTATGACTAGGGTCTTTCTTTTCTCTTATTTTTGAGACTGGGTCTCATATATCTCCAGCTGGCTAGAACTCACGGAAATTTGCCTCTCTGCTTCCGGAGTGCTGGGATTAGAGGCATGCTCTACCTCAGAGGGCATTTTAGGTGTTTCTTAATCGAATCAAGCTGATAAATGAGCCATCACACTCATTTCACTTGCATTTGGTGAATTACACCATACTTTTCACCTCTGAATACTAATTTTGGTATAAGAATTATTTTCTTAGTCGACCAGTATTACTCAGGAGGTAAAGGCAGGCAAATCTGAGTTCGAGGCCAGCGTTCTTTACAGAGAGAGTTCCAGGACAGCCAGAGCTACACAGAGAAACCTGGTCTTGAAAAAAAAATTATATACTGTAGGATCCGTACATTGTCACTACGGGATGCTGCGACTCTTTGGAACTTGCAGACTATAATGCAGTTTGTGGGTTATGTCAGATCCAAAAGAAACTTGGGACAAATGGCCATATGTGGTGCCTATTAACATACCTAAGCGCATGCTGGCTTCCTGGCTTGCTCTTTCACCCTGCCTCTACCCTAAACTTCTCCAGCTCGTGGGTTTCGCTCCCGCCCGCCCCTCCCCCACGCCTTCTCATTCCCTTACATCCCTACATTTCAGCCCTTTTGTCTCCCCCTCCCAGCACCCTCTATTGCCCTCCTTTGCCCACTTTTGTTATTTTCCTCCCTCTCTCTCCACAACCCCATGGCCAGGTTCAGTCTTCTAGCTAAGTTCAGTTCATTACTTTCTCCCTCTCTGCTCTGGACTCTTCCACACACCCCTGGCTTTACTCCCCCTCATATCTACAATAAAAATGTTTCCCTAGCTAGGTGGTGGTGACCAGTGCCTATAATCCTAGCACTCAGAAGGCAGAAGCAGGTGGATCTCTAAGTTCTGAGTTTGAGACCAACATAGTCTACAGAGCAAGTTCCAGGACAGAGAAACCCTGACTCAAACAAAACAAAACAAAACAAAAACAAACAAATAACAACAACAAAACAACCAAAGAAACAAACAAATAAACCTTCAACCCAA